TTAAAAGCTTTAACTTATAAGAGTTACCTTGGTCATAGTGTCTCTTCAAAGAAATAGAACAGTGACCAAGAAACCAACTTAAAACAAAATAAAACAAAAAACCAAAACAACAACAACAACAACAAACTACCTAAACAATCTAATACAAAAAGCAAGGGACCACTGAGCTGTAGTGGTGCACACCTTTAATCCCAGTGCTCGAGAGGCAGGCAGGTGGATTTCTGAGAGTTTGAGGTCAGTCAGTCTGATTTACGGAGTTTGTTCCAGGATAGCTAGAGCTGTTACAGAGAAACTCTGTCTCCAAAAAGAAAAAGAAGGAAAAGCAATGGACCAAATGTCATGTTTGCTGGTCCTAATACAAACTGGTACCTTTAACTGGGTAAAGACGGTGGTTCATGTCAATACTATTTGCTACAAGACCCAGCAATTCCTTCTTCTACATCTTTAACCATGAATAACAGAACTATTCAAGATCTATATTAACCACATAAACTATGATTTTAAAAAACAAGGGGCTGGAGAGCTAGCTCAGCAGTTAAGTGCACTCACTGATCTTCCACAGAATCCTGGTTCAATTCACAGCACCCACGTGGTGGCTCACAACCTCCTGCAACTCCAGTTCCAAGGTACTCAGACTCCCCATTCTGACCTCTGTAGGTACTAGGCACACACTGATGCACACATACATGCAGGCAAAACATCCGTGCATATAAAACAATTTTAATAAATTGTTTTAAAAACAAAAGAGAAATCAAACAAGGCATAAGGGCTCCAGCAGTGGCTGTCTTTAGATCTTTTTGTGCAAACAACATTAAGTATTGAGCAGTCACTAAGAAGAAAGTCAATGCTTTTGCAAAAGGCCTAATGTCCCTGCACTATTCTTTCCTATTCAAATCGGGAGACCACTGGGTTCTTTGTGGCAGGTTCCCATTAGGCAGTCTTGTGTGGTCTACAATTTCTTACATAGATTACAATGGCCTTCAAGTTCTTGGGTCCTTGTGTTTTGCCTCTAATCAAAGAGAATTTCAAAATCTTTTTTTTTTTTTTTTTTGAAATAGGGTCTTCTAGAACTCCACTATGTCGTTCAAGCTGGCCTCAAACTCTCTTTGGCCATCCAGTCTCAGTTTCCGGAAAGCTGAGAACAGGTGTAAACTACCAGAACCTTTAGGCAGTCACCCAGCAAAAGAAAATTAAGTCTGAACTTAATTCTCAATGGCAGATGTACACTTTTCAGGAATGAAAGTAATCACACTTTTGGTTTCTTCCTCCTACCCTCACTTTAGGAAAATAGATGTGGATGTGAGCAGACTGTTGTTTTAAGTTAATGGACAAATTGGATTATACAAACTAGAAAAAAATCACTGCTAGAAAGGGAGGTGCACATCTTTAATCCAGCACTCAGGAGGAAGAGATAGGTGGATCTGAGTCTGAGGACAGCCAATGCTGTACAGAGACCCTGGACCAAAAACAAACAAAATTAGAAAATTATATGACACAATAATTTGAATGAGAATGTTCCCTGTACATGCACATGCTTGAAGGCCTGATTCTGCTGGGTGCTGTCTGTGAGGTCTGAGAGATGTGGTCTCTTGGGATGAAGGGTGTCATTGGAAGTGCCTTTGAGAGTTTAAAGGGGCTGGCCATTTCCTCTCATTTCATTTCCCCTGCTTCTTGCTCATGATTCAAGATGTGAGCTCTCAGCTTGCTGCTGCAGCCACACCTCCCTGCCATGAGGGTGATAGACTCGGTGCTCTGGAACAGTAACTCCAAATATAGATATGACTAGATGGCTCAGCCTGCTAACCTGACAATCTGAGTTTGATTTTGGGGTCCCATGTGATGGGACAGAACCAACCAGCACAGGTCACTCTGTCATCCACATGCACATTACGGCACATGCGTCGCGTCTGTGTAAACACACAGAAACACACACACACAAGAAAAATTAATAAATAAAATTGAGAAAAAGTGTAACTGATGAGGACTATTTTCTTTAGACACTTTCTGTTCTTGATGCCAGACTCTCCAGCCCTACATCATCCTGAAAAACTGGTTCACTCTCTTTCACACAGCACACTGCAGTCCTTACTGTTAGGTACTACCAACGTGAGATAACGAACCACGCCTTCTGAAGCTCCACCTCTGTATTGACTAGGAGATCTCACAATTGTCTCTCTCTAGACGACACACAAAACATGTTAGGTCATGATCTAGTTAGTCCAAAGAACCACTATTATAACCTCCTTTCCTCAAGTATTCTTGAGGAAAATTCTTGCTGACTCTTTACCAGCATTAAAAGAAGAGGCCGTGAGTTTGATAGAGAGCAAGAAGGAATCCACGTGGGAGTTTGGAGGGAGAAGAAAGAGAGAAATATTGCAATTATAGTATAATCTCAAAAAAACAAAATCAAATGATTTTATATTATCTAGTCATCTCTGTTCCTACTTAAGCTACTCTGAACCCACTCTAATTTGTTTCTTCATATATAAATGGATGTCACAGATTATCACTCTTTCAACATTAAAATACTACAAAGATCAGAGCTGGAGAGACGGAAGGCTCAGAGGTTAGGAGTACTGGCTGCTCTTTTGGGGGCCCTGGCTTGGCTTAGTGAGCACTCACATGGTGGCTCACACCTGTCTGTAACTGCAGCCCCAGGGGATCCCACACCTCTTCAGACTTCTGTGGGCACTGCGTACATGTGGTGTATTACATTTCCTTCTTTTTTTTTATTTTTTATTTTTTGGACACAGGGTAACAATCCTGACTGTCCTGGAACTCCCTTTGTAGACCAGGCTGGCCTCAAATTCACTGAGATTAACCTGCCTCTGCCTCCCAAATTCTGGGATTAAAGGTGTGTATGCCACCACTGCCCAGCTGCGTGTTTCATTTCTAATAGATGACAATGTAAGAAACTATTACCTTTGTGACAATGTACAAGAGTCACAAAGCCTCTGAAGACTGCATACTCAACCCAGTTTATCTTTTCACATATTTTTATCAGTGGAAAGAGAATTAAATTCTCTTGGAAGTAAGTTCTGAGTTGTCAAGTATAGCTGAAAAGGCTGACAAACTTCAAATGTGAACTTTTATTCAATTATGGAATTAAAATTAGACTACAAAATTATGCCAAGGGGAAAAATGGGATAGAAGAGAAAATATATGAAAATACAAAATAGTTTTACATTTTTTTTTACTTATTCATTTATGTATTTATTCATTAGTTTTCGAGGAAGGGTTTCATGTGTGATAGTTTTAGTTGCCCTGGAACTAGCTCTGTAGACCAGGCTCAGATTCAGTTTATTTTTTTGCTTTGTTTTGAAATAAGGTCTTGCTATGTAGCCTAGGGGGCCTTGAACTCACGGCAGTCTTCAGTTTCCCCAGCAGGAAGATCACTTCCAGCTTTATTTCTTTTTAAAGGAAAACGAATATAGCTAATTTGTTCTCTAATTTGTTTGTTGGCTTTGTTTCTGAAGCACGAGAGGCAAATGTGAGTTAGGAGCGCACTGGACACAAGCCTTGTTATCACTAACTACAACCTCAAGTCCCTAAAACAATCTACTCTCAAGTATAGTCCCACTATTCTAAAAGTCAGGGAACCCCAAGCTATAAAATAATGCAATCAACATCACATCCGGGAGGAAGAGTGCGGTTCTCCATCCCACCAAGTGTTCATTGGATATTCCTAAGAGGTAGAAAGAATAAGCAATGAATAAAAAGCTCGCTCTCACAAACACAAAACAGTCTTAACTGTGTCTACTACTGTCTTCTACTAAGTCTCCACTCTGTCTTTGGACTCCCAAAACATGGACACCTGCCTCTTTCACTATATCCCCGTTTTTTATTCTTAGGCCCTGCAAAGCAAATGTTTCACCAAGACTGAAACACTAGAATAGCCTCCGGTGTTGCGAGAGGAAAGAACACTGCAAAACAACTACAGGTTGTTCATTTTCCACCGTGGACAACGTTGATGAGCGCACCTAACTGAGCCAGGGTGGGAATCTGGGCTGCTTTGGAGAATACTGGAGGGGACAACAAAAGGAGAGACGTACGACTTTCTAATCCCACTTAACATTTCCCAGGGAAGCTTTAAAATTAGCTACTGTAGCCTAAATTTGATGCCACCTGCTTCAATCTTCTTGATAGTAATTTCATCTGTAAGACACCTCTACTGATAGTACGCTCACAGCGGAACTACCGTGAGGATCCAAGGGACACACGCAAAGCGAATCGCACAATGCCTCACCCACGGAAAAGACTAAAAGATGCTGCTTGAAAGAAACCTGAAGTATGCAGCACCCCTGCCTTCACCGAGAAGCAGGAGCCTTTGTTTTAGGTTTCACGGGACAATGATATGCATGTTTCCTCAACTCATTCATTTAACACTTCAATTTAGAAATTTAAGAGCCTGCTTTGAAATACAAACTTAGGAAAATAAACCAAACCAACCAGGGGCTGAAATACAACGTCACAGGAAGAAATATTCAAGACTCACTATATGGATAAAAATAATTCATGAAGCTTCAGAATAACGCAAATTCGGCACTGATTATAATCAAGTATCCCTTTCAAATTCAAGTGAACGCTTGTTCTGTTTTTCCCCTCAGACACGACAGAACTCTTTTCATTAAGTTTATACACAGCTTATTCGATACCAGAACCATTTGGAAGCCCAGCTCAGAGAATGCCACACTGTTTACAGTGTTAGAAAGAATCCCGTGTGGTCACTCTAGGCCAACTGTCACTGTCACCAGCACGTCTGCGTGTCTCACGGGGACTTGAATAATGCACAAGTGTGGGGGTGCAGAAACAAAGTCGAGAGCTAGGGCGCCCCGAAAGGGGAGAGGTTTAACTAACTAGGCGTCCCACAGCTGGGTCTGGCCTGTAGGGACTCGGACTCCTGGGGCAGATCAACTCGGGGGGGGGGGTGCAGGAAAGGGACGCAGGAGGCGCCCCCCCTCCCAGGGCCGCCCGCCGCCGTCTCCCCGGGACCCCGGTACCTTTCTCTTCCTCGTCGATGCGCAGGGCAATGGAGATGTACTCGAAGGCCTGTTTGTGGAAGACGCGGACGCTCTCGGCCTCGCCACCCGGCCCGGGAGCTGGGGCTGAGGGCGAGGCGGGCGCCGGCGCGGTCCCGGAGCTCCTCTTGGCGGCCATGAGGGCGCGGGTGAAGCGCTGGCAGAGCCACACGAAGAGGAGCCCCAGGTGGCAGGCGAGCAGGCGCAGCAGGGCGAAGCCGACGACCAGCGGGTACGAGAAGTAATACA